CCCCTTTGAAATGCTTGAAAAAAGGAGTCTAGACATGCTGGCCTTATGTAGGGCTAGCCTGCCAACCTTATTTTTTGTTTTTTTAGTTTTAAATTAAAATTAAATTCAATAAGTTAAATAAAAAAAAAAGTTGGGATGCCCACCTTTACATGTCTTCAATTTTAATTAAAATTCTTTTAAAAAAGTAATTAGTTTTTTTTAATTATCTAAAGATGTCAATTTTTTATATTTTTCAATAAGATAATATCATTTTCTTTTAAATGTTAGCAGTCCCTATTTTTTACTAACCCTTTATAATATATAATTTCATTTATTTTATTCAAATGCAATAATCAAACTAATGTTACTATTAAAAAACAAAATTACCAAACAATGAGATTTATAAGTTATATATTGTATTTATCAGGTTGACCTCCATTAGTCTATAACATCATCATCTCAAAATGTAGGAAAAAACAATAGTTTTAAACATCAACCACATGAACATTTTTTGAAGCATCAAATTGGGTTCCAACTGGGTTGACCTGATCAGGTTATGCATTAAAACACATAATCACAACGACATTTTTAACACTTAGAATCCGTACCGGCAGCAGAGCACAGGCAAACAGAGCTAGCTATTACTAGTAAGTCTGTGTCTTTGGCATTCTTGCCAGCCAATTCAAGAATACCAGGATCAATGGAAGCCAACCCATTTGGGTCTTGAAGTTTTCTGTCAAGAAATTTAGCCAAGGCTACAGCTTTATTAGTATTTAATGGTCCACCAGGATGAGCTAACCTGATACATACAAATCAACAAAGAAGACCCCAGACATTCCTGTAAAAGAACATAAGCAAGAACACGAAGATAAAGAAGGGAGGACAAAAAGAACTGGGTTGTTGGGAACGAGGAGGGTGATGAGGGGGGGGAATGCAGAAAGGACGAAAAGCCAAAATTATCAGATTTTCTAGGATGGTCATTCTCAATCAAGGGTTCTCCATCTGCTGACTCAGGTACAATAATGCCATTTAACTTGAATAGATTTTCTCTTGCATGTATTTACTAGAATAACGAAACAACATGAATCAAATGCCATCTTTACCAGATTTTCCTGAGGAATCACAGCTCAATGAAGCAGTAGCAGACAACAAGCATTCACCTCCTCCCCATCTCCTTTCTCAGTTAGTGGCAGCATAGTACATAACAGATACCATGCTCCTCATATACATGGAATCTACGACAGCTTGAAGTAATTCGTAATACATGGAAGGGAGGAAATTAACAAATTTGGGAATTAGCCCTTTCTTTTCAGCCTAAAACTCTAAAACAGGTGGCCAAGCAGGCTTGAGATTTCAAATAATCCAATGTAGGTTTCAAATCACTGGGTCATATGACCATGGAAAGTGCTGGAGTAACATTGGCACAGGGCTTTAGATACTGCAATAACATGTGTGGAGGTTGTCCAAAACCACTCCATACATCCCTTTCCATTAACAACTTACCGCTTCAAACTAGCCAAGTAGAAATCTGAAAATGTCACTCAGTGTCACAATGCCTTCCACACGTTTACTGCCAGCCTCCACAATGACAAGACGCCTAACACCTGAAAACCCAGGGATTGAGGACCATTAACTTGGTGAAACTTGGCGAATGAATTTAAAAAAATGTACCACGTGAATTTTCAGAAGAGAAAAAAAGAAAAAAAAAGAGCTTATGCAAAAGTTCTATGAAAACAACAACAACAACAGACATCTTTTCAGAAAAAAATTTAACCACAATCATATTTAACAGGGCTCTTTGTAACCAAAGTAACTTTTTTTGGCAAAGGCTTTGCTGGTTCTTTAAAAGTCCTCCAAGCACTTTAACATTACAAATAAATTATTCAACAAAAGTTGAAGGATGACAGCTCAGGCTGCTTGAAAGAAGCAAAGACAAAGGACAGGAACTGCAGTTTGAGTGATCACGAGCAAAGAAAATCAAGAGAATTAATATCCTAATGACCAACACATACTACAAAAATAATATTTCCAACCTACTCAACAACCAGGCACTCCAAAAAGTCATTGGAAGATATTTAACAGGATCTTCCTTCTCAGTAAAGGAGAGAAATTCAGATTACCAGGGTTTGCCAATCGCTCCATCACTTTATGCAATGTATCAGAGCGCAAACACATCTGACATCTTTGACTTCTCAGATCATAAGAAGAATAGACATCCTGTCCCAATTGCAAAGCCTAAGAAAAACCATGATCAGAAAACGTCAAGCACCATTTTTAAACTATAAATTACATTTTGAAACAATGGGGCAACATATACACTAAACAAAGTCAAACACTTCCAATAATTTTATGTAGCCTGCCCAAGCAAGCAATTAACCCTTTGATGTGATACATGTGAAGCAAAAAGGATTCATTTGGTCCAAGTGCAACAAGATAACACCCAGAGGTAACCTTCAAGACCATAACATCACAAGTTGCTTCCACACTGAACACAATTCCCATGAAAATTATATAGGAGTTTATACTATCATCACATCCATTTTCACCTAGTCTTTTAAGGCCATGTTTGTTTCCCGAAAAGTGATTTCCGACAAACCATTTTCCAAACTTTCATGTGTTTATTTGCCATTATGAAAGTTGGTTAACGGAAAACACTTTCCAGTCAGAAGAAAATTTGACTTAGTTTCCAGGAAAGTGTTTTCCTGATAAATTTGAACGGAAAACACTTTCCAAAAGTTGTGAAAAATTTATAAATGTTATATTATTTGCTGATTATATCAAATTGGGTCCTCAAACTTTTGATTACTATATATATATATTGTTTTGAATATTTATTATTCAATTTCATCTCTTAAAATTTAAATTTTATATTAACTTCGGTTCTTATTTTTATAATTGTTATTTGTTTTTTATTGAAATTTTTTATCTATCAAATTTGATTCTTATTCTTTTGATTGTTACTTATTTTATTTGAAATAATTTATGCCCTAAATCTCAACAAGAAAGCATTTTGTAAAGATCCAGCACCTGTGTCCCATTTCTCTTTATCCTTTAAAGTTGAAACCAAATGGTGCCCCACCATCTATCCATCTACTCATCAAACGCACAATCTTGTATCAAATATTCTTACAACAACAGAGTTAATATCCTCTACATGCCGACAATGACAGTTTTCATAAACAAAATTATGAAAAATAAATAATGATAAAAAAATCAAGACATTCATGCCATCCTATTAAAAATATCAACAAACTAAAGCCATTACTTTCCAATTAATAAGTACTACGAAGTAGCTTCATAAAACATGTTCAAGGGAAAATGAAGGGCCGGGGGCGTAGAAAGAGAAGATACCTGATTAATAGTCATTTCATTAAGATTAATATGAGTATAAATTTTGTCCTTCGCCAAAGCTGTTATGTCACTGTACAAATGATAACACATAATTAGCCTCAGCATCGAAGAAGAGTTGCAAAATATGGTTTTAAGAATATCAAACCCAGAAGAACAAGTTACCTCCGACAATATATGTCTATTAACGAGTCATTCTCATCAACTATTGGTATTGAACTTACTTGAGCTGCAAGTACAGAAGGTGATAAAAAAATACTAGGTATTAAAATTACAAGAAGATCAAGATGTATAGCTGAAGTATATTCTTGTCTAGCTGAAACCATAGAAAACTACCCCAAAAGGAAACAACTTATTTTCTCCTAACGACTAAACTATCCCCCACATAACAACTAACTTAGCCAGTGAAATCTCTGGGCATCATACCAGAAACATAGAATCCAATTTTAGGCACACTAGTGGTAAGGGGTTTAAGTAGGAAAAATACCCAATCACAGGGCCCAGCCATCAGATCCAAAAGGAGGGAGAATCAGGTGAGTCATAAAATGGGAGACACAAAAAATGAATAATTTATTAGTTGATAAATAGATCCTTGTCAATTTTATTTCAATTTTCAGCAATTCAAGAAATTTATCAAATAGTATACTCATATGCACCTCATCCAATCAATAAGATTTTCGAAAGTTCCATGTAACTTTTAAGTGTAATACATGTAAAGCAGTTTCAAGTAGTTTGCTACAAATATTTGCCACTAAGAATTTGAACTTCTACTTCCAAAATATACACGAATTCTTCTGTTGATAATTTATTTTCCTTCTGTCTGCACTTTACAGAAATTACTAACATACCTTGAATTAACAAGTTTAAAGCTGAACTAAGAGAAGCACTTGGTCTCAACATGGCCAACGGGCGCCCGCTAGGCTCTCCAATACTTGGAACCCATGAACCCACTGGTATTGCACCAATCGGTAGTTGGAGCATGGGTAAGGTGCCAGAACAATGTCTAAAGTACCTGCAAATACCTGGAAATTAACATCCTATAGTTAGTAATAAACTATTTGTAGCTACTTAGCAAGCTAACCAAAAAGCCTTACATTTCAGTATTCCAGAGAGTGAGGCAAGATGCAGTAATTGAGGAAATGAGCCATCTTCTGATGATGAATGGATAATGGGAACTGTAGCCACCTCATTCTGCAATATTCTCAAAGCAACCTCTTTCAAGTTGTCATATGGCCCAGCCTGCACATTAGCCAAAATCCAGATCAATGGACAAAAGCCACATCAAACATTTTTGTTATATATATAGTAACTCAAGATAAAGCCATTTGAATGCTTCCTATAAGTGCAGCACAAAAATGAAGCGCCAAGAATAATTACACGTTTCCACTCCGCTTGATGCATGAATGGTGAAAAACAAATTAGGGGGTAGTTTACATGCTACAGATACAAGCATGCCTGAGAGATCCCTTACATGTATGAGATGTCTAGGTAGAGCCCGGACATGTCCATCTATTTGCCTATTCAGATATGATTTTCCCTCTTTCCAAGCGGATATTGTGTGTGTATCAAGTTCTTCCTCAGTAAAATCTGATCCGTTATTTCCAAGCTGCAAGTAAAAGTAATCAGTGTTATAGAAACATGCAAACAGTATATTTCTGTCCACAAGACTTCTTATCAAGAACAGTAGCATCCAAGCATAAATTATTCAAGCTTGTTGCCTGTTTTAGAAGCATGTAAATTTCTCCCAATATCAATGAATATCCCAAAAGCCATCAATTACATTTGGGTTCTTGTCTCCGAATCAAAACCTGTCCCCAAACATTTGGGGTCAAACTTCAAAGAAGATAAATGGATATCATGCCATATGGAAAACAAAGCTGTATAAAAATTTGTTTACTTTTACCCTTAAGGAAAATGAACCTTGTGTTGTTGCATTGTTTATCTATATGCATCTCTGATGCATATAAATTTGCACAGTGATAATCAATGAACAAATAAACATTTGTATTTAGAAGATTCACTGTTGAAAGAAGACATGATTTTACATGCACATACCTCTCTCAATATCAATATGAAGTCCAAGGCACTAAGCACTCCAACAAACTGGCCCCTAGAGAAGTCCCAAAGAGGAGCCATAGGGATTCCCTGGAAACAGCTAACTTAGAAGGCATACATACCCAAGCTCTTAATCAGCAACAATTAAATATGCATGACAGCCAACAATTGTAAATAATAAGTATGCAAAGCTCAGATCATGGAACAGACTAAGCCTGAAGGCAGGACTTAAGCCAGCTTGAAACTGACTATTCACTTT